TTTAGATTGGCAGAGTCAGACAAGGCCCCCAAGAAGTGCTCTTCCGCCTAGAACCAAGGGAGAAAGGATCTGTCCAGTGAGAGAAAGAGGAAGCACATTTCACAGGAGACAATACTGATATTGTGAATCTTGGGCTAGAGGAGTTTTCTGTGACTGAGGAATTTAAAGAAAGAGGGTGTGATCCAGGCAAGACCTTTGGCTTCACCAAGAAAACTAATATGGTAGGGAAGATAGATGCCACCTGAAAAGGTTATTGTGCTTACCATTTGAGTGGTGATTTATTAAAGGATGCCATCCATATAAGATGGAAACCTTTACATTTATCAGAAATTTAAGTATGTGATAAAATCTCAAATAACCATGTTTTTGTTTCTGCTTTTCCTTTGTGAGGGAGTGTGTGTGCATGGGTGACATACAGTCATTCCTCAGTATCCACAGGGRAGTGATTAGAGGATCCCTGTATATTCCAAAATTCAAGGATGCCCAAGTCCTTTCTATCAAAAGGATTAGTATTTGCATATAACCTAAACTCATCCTCCTCTATACTTTAAATAATCTCTGGGTGACTTAGACCTAATACAATGCAAATGCTACATAAGTAATTATTATAGTTATTGTTTAGGGCATAATTACAAGAWAAACATTTGCTCATGATCTTAGATACAATTTTTTCCAAATATTTTTGTTCTGCGATTGGTTGAATCCATGAACATAACCTGTGGTTRTAGAGGGCTGTATATATGCTGAGATATCACACAGGTACTGAATTTTTACTTAAGAAAGTAACTTCTAGCCTATGTCATAGGGCCTGGACTAATTTGTTTTTCTTTTCTTAATATCTAAATACAGCTTCTTTCTAAAGAAATTACATTACATTTTGTGTGTGCTGTCAACCCAAGGTGTGAATTAATATTAGCTACCATTAATATCAACATACCTGTTTCTGTTTATGTTTAATTATAATACTTTTAAGGGCAGGAACAGCTGTTATTTGTTTGGGATCCCATCAATTATCTTTTAAAACTATGTCCTAGAAATATTATAGAAGTTTCTGGAAGGAATGTATAAAAAAAACTAATATGCAGCAAGACATGCACCAACCCTGCAAAATTCTTAAATGCCTACTAAACTCAACTGTCTTCTGTACAAGAAGAGTGTTGTACATGTTAATAGATACAACCTGAAGATGATTACCCTCATCAGATATATTTGGCTACACAATACAACACCTTTGTGAAGGCACACAGTGTGTGTCAGCATCTTATAAACCTGGAATCCTGCTTTAAAGATCAGACTTGAAGTTATTTAAATTCCCAAGCTTGGTTCATTATGGATCTCTCTCCAATCCCCTCTCCATTTTTGACTAAAYGTATTTTAGCATTTATAGAATAGATGAGTTTGGGGACCTCAGTTCATTTCAAGTCTTTAAAAAACATCTGAAATATACATATTTGCTTTCCATTTTTTAAAAGTATAAACATTCTTTAGTTGAAGTGAATATGTAATGATCCATCATATTTATCATTTCATTCCATTACTTATTCATCAAGCATATATTGATGACCTCCAGTGGGCAGGTAGTGTGCTGCGAGCCTCAGTCCAAGGGAAGTGACTGATGAGAAAATCCACTCCTGCACAACAGTAGGGTAAATGATGGAGCTGAGTCCCAAGGCAGGCTGTGCTGACACAGAGGTGCAAGCCCTTCCACTCTGATTTGGATCCMTAGAAGACAGTGCTATATACACAATAATGAGTGATTCTTCAACTTGTTTCACACTGTCCATTCATTTTAAGCATCAGCTTTAAAAGCAATATACCTATTGCATATATTTATAATTAAATAAATGTTGGCATATATATATATATATATATATATATATATTTAGAAGGATAATTTCTGGGCATAGGGGGACCCTTGTGGGAAACACAGCTGCTCACAGCCCTCTGAGTCCCTCTACTCTTCCACTTGCAAGCTCACTGGTGACTGTGACCATCATGGGCATGGGAATCATTTTGTGTTGTTATAGATCATTGTCTGCCTAAGAGCATTGTTAAGGAACTGTCCCTCCTTTTCCCCTCCCTTAGCTTTCTATATCTAAAAGAGGAGGCACACCCGTAATCCCAGCTACTTGGGAGGCAGGAAGATCACAGGTTTGAGGCCAGCCTGGGTAACTTATCAAAAAAATTTTAATTTTTAATTTATCAAAATAAAATGTAAAAAAAAAATGTGCTGGGGATGTAGCTCAGTGGTAGAGCGCCCCCAGGTTCCATGACAGGACTGCAGAGGGAGAAAAAGGAAAGAGTCCATTACAAACATTTTCCTAGATGTGTTTCCTCAGAAAAGGTCAGGGCGCAGTCACTGCTGGATAAGAATCAGCACATTTCTCGGAAGCAATCCCAATCCTTTCCATCAGTCCTCCCAGCGAGGCATGTCATGTTCTGTCCATTTTTGCAGGCCTTATCTATCTGCAGCCTGCCTTTTTGACTTGATAACTGATTTCTGCACCATCAGTCGCATTGGCTATGGGAACTATCTGAAGGACCRCAGAAGTGGGCAAAGGACCAGATTTACACTTTTTCCTCTTTGGTGTCTTTTATCCTAGAAATATTTTGTTAGATCCTGATTTTAGTTTTAAGACCATGGGCTACTGTGCTCATCTCTAAGTTAACCATCTGCAGAATGAGAAAACACACACACACACACACACACACACACACACACTCACACACACAAATACCTCAAAAAGGCTGATGTGATTATAAATGAGACAGTAGAGAGAAAACACTTGGATGTTAGGGTTTAGATATGAGGGGTCCCCTAAAATCTCACGTGTTAGACAATGCAAAAAAATTCAGAGATGAGAGGATTGAGTTATGAGAGTTTTAACCCAATCAGTGCATTAATCCACTAATAGGAATTGGGTTTGGCTGAAGGAAGGGCACCACTGTGGGTATACCTTTGAGATTTATATTTTGTCCCTGGTAAGTAAAATTCTCTCTCCTTCCTTATTGCCATGTCCTGAACTACTTCATGTCCCTCCATCATGATCTTGGATCCAGAGCAATGGAATCAGCCATCTTTGGACCAAGACCTCTGAAACCATGGACGCCAAATAAACTTTTCCTCTTTTAAATCGTTCTTGACAGGTCTTTTGGTCACAGTGGCAAAAAAAAAAAAAAAAAAATGCTGACTATAACATGAGAGGAACCTAACAGGTGGAGTGTACCCAAAATATGTGTTATATTTTTACCCATTTCTTAGCTGTCTTTGTCAAGGCAGGTATGGAATCAATTTTTAAAGTCTTACCTACTATTTGAGTTAAACAAGGCTTCATTGAGCACCAGACTTGTAATTCAGCAAATATTTGTTAAGTACCCATGATTTGCAAGGCTTTGCACAGGGCTCTGGGGAAATATAGGTAAATAGGATAGCAGTCCTGCCTCCAAAGGAAAGCACTGTGGAATAAAGGACCTCGGAGTTCAGTACTGTGCTAGAGACTGGGAAGGGATGGGATAGTTACAAATGTAGAAAAAAATAGTTCTCTTCTTGCAAGGATCCTATAACTTGGTTGTTATACAGAGACTTCAACTTTTTATGGAAGTAGTAAGGTAAGCCGAGACCTAATTGGACCCCAAATTGACAGGAGTGTTACTATGGCATTAAGTACAGAAGCCAGGTGTGAAGTTAACCTGGTTACAACCTCTTGCCACTCAGGAGTTAATTAGGTATTTTAGGATTAGCTAAGTCAGTGTCCTGGTCCTCTCAGCCTCCTAGGTGACCCAAGCTGCATGCCAAATCAGGAAGTCAACCTTCCCTCTTGAATTCTCTGTTGAACCCATCAGTTACAAGTGACTGTGTTCCTCTGCTAGGGACACAGCGCTCTAGACCYACTGATAGAAGCAGGCAGTCCCCAGGCTGTTTCTGATGGAAGGAAGGGAAGGAATTGTGGTTTCTACTTCCCTGGTTTAGGGAGAAATGTAAGATAACTTCTTTTCTTACAGTATTTCCCCCAAGGTAGCCATCATAAAAGTGTCAGTCTCTGCTGACTGAGATATTTTTCTCTTTTTCAAATATCCTATTGTTCTTTTCATGTTTATTGTTTCCTTTATGCCCCTTGATAGCTGCTTTTTGAGGACTTGTAGGATATTTTGATACTGAGTTACGAAGCCAGATGTGAGGCCCTCTATTATTCCGCCTCTTATTTTGATTTAAAGTCACATGCTTCCCTATGGAAGAAAACAATAAAGATMCAGTCCTGGAAGAGAGAAGTAGTGTGGGAAGATGAATAGGAACCTATTTCATTGGAGAATGAAAGAAGAAGGATATTGAGTATAAACAATCAATACAAGAGATCATGAGTGACATTTAGGTAGTCCTTTAACCCAATAATGTCTTGTTAGATGACTATATTTCTTAAAGGTACAGCAGCTATTAGCAGTCAACATACAACTGTAATTTCACTCAATATTTTATCCAATTCAGTGTCATCATCATCTTTTGCATATTAATTGCAGCTTAGTTTTGCAATTGAAAAGAAGGAAAGAGCTGACCTTAGGCCAGATTTGATTAGCCTTCTTGGACAGGATTCTTATAGGAGCTGGCCTTCTGAATATCATACCCTCTAGGAACAAATGTCAGTAAGTTTTGTTGTGAGCAGGGTACAAGTCACCCTGGGTGCTCTATGTTGGACATTACGTGCAGTGTGGAGGCAACACAGATTCAGCAAGGCCTAGGTCTTTTCCTGCCCTATTACTTGCCAGCTGTGGATTTAGGACAAGTCACTTAACCTTTCTGAGTCTCAGTTCACTTCATCTTTAAAACAGGAGTAAAAATAGCCAGTCTGTTGACCTATACGATGGTTTGGAAGATCTCATGGGACCATATCCGTGAAGGCACATGTTGTAAACTTTAAATTGTTAAGCAAGTGTCAGAGTTGTCTCTGAATGACCAGAGACACCATTCCCTGCTGGACAAGTCAATCCATCTGGACTAGCGTTCAGGGTCTGGGCTCAGCATTTCTGTGATAGCAGGCACTCAACCCAGGGGACTGGCCAAACGGCCCGGCTGCCCATTGCGGGCATCACCCTGAAGGACAGACTTTACAATCCCATTTAGGAGACAGATAAAATGTGACAAGCCACTCACTCAAAAGGTCAGAATAAGTTCACTTTAAAGACAAAGAGGCATTTCAAACTCATGCCTATGTCTCCATTTGAAAAGTAAGTGGAAAAATCCTTCAAAGACAAATTTGCTTAAGCCATAGTTTGAGCCGTGAAAAAGCTGTAATCATAATATAATATCTTCTGAATATTTATTACTTCTAACCTGACATAGCATCATTTCTTTTATTCCTACCATCATTCCCTGTAAAGTAGCAAGGGAGATAATTTAAGATTTAGGAAAGTGTGTTCCAAAACCATTTGTCTGAGGAGACATCCGGGTAATTGGTAGAGCAACGTTGAGAAAGCAGGTCATCCAGGGCCATGCTCGTTGCCGTTACTTAGAGGAAAGGCTAATGAAATAACCATTTATTTAAAGTGGTCTGTTTGTTTTGTTCTTCCCTTGATGCAGATATAACCAGGTAGCATGAAAAAAATCTACTGAGAGCCCAGGCTACACCTAGCCAAGGGCAATGTCAGGGAAAAGCATGGTGTTTGGGACTCTTACATGTGTCCTCATCACATCGGTTCAAATCAYGGTTTCTTTCTCTGGAGACCCTTTTATTCCACCTTCTAGGCCACAGCCCAGGCCCCATATAGATGAATATTTTTTCCTCTTGTTTAGGTTAGTAAACCTGATCAAAGACTATCAACCTGCTGGATTTCAGCTGAGGTTAGCCTAAGTCAGAATGTCATTAATATCTGATTACATATTGACATCATTTTAATCACAGAAACCGAAAGTTAAATAAAAGTGCTCCATTTAAATGTCTCCTCAGTTCACCCTCTGTGGGGTTCTCTGGATGAGAAGAAAGGGGTTTTCTCTGACCTATTTCAATGGAGGAATTATTCTTACAGCTCTCAAAGACCTGGTTTCATTCCTTACTTTTTGATATTAAAATGACATCTTTCTCATTCTCCAGCATGATATCCTTTTCGAAAAATTTTGTATTTTCCAAGATACAAGCTGGAGCTGAGGTACTTGACCAATTGGTTGAGAAGCCACTGTTTAGCTGTAAAAAAAAAAAAAAAAAAAAAAAAAATTACAGATTAACTTGAGAGAATCCATCCCAACCCCTCTAACAGTTTTTTTTTTTTTTGTTGTTGTTGTTGTTGTTTTGCAACAAATCAGATTCTTCCACACACTAAGAATTTGGTGATAGAGATAACAGCATTCAGCCTCAGCCTGGGTCCTGAATAGGTGATGGTCATCTAGAGGTAGCTCAGCTCCTAATACTGAAGCCAGGGAGTACATGTGAGCACAGTAACTGCTGAGGCCAAACGGTCCCTGGGAATGAGAATTCTTTAAAAGGTGCAGCATTTTGAACAGTAGCAATTTTTCTAATGTTCTGGGCAAAGATAGGGTGTTAGGGAGTAGGCTTTGCATACCGGCTTGCCTGTCAATGGGATCCCCATGCTGTTTGATGTAGATTAGATGTCAGGAATAGTCAAGGGTGCATGGAGTRCACACACTCCCTACTTTAAACATAGCTGAGAAAAAAGGAAGGAGCACCAGAGTTCCCTCCATTGCCCATTTCATGTCTCAAGTCCTGGCCTAAGAGGGGGTTTTACATTTTGCGTTGTTGCTATGTCTTGGCATGTCTTCCATGGCTGACCACACCACTGCCACCACCACAGAGAGCTGATGCTTCTGGCTAGGATAAGAATGTACAGGAGATGGCTTCCTGGGTTTGAACTCTTTTTAGTTAGTTGGTAACTAGGTGTGCAGTTTCATCTTATGCATTTTGAGCAGCAGGAAAAAGAGCCTCTCTGACATCCCTGATTATGGTCCCTTTGTCAGATCAAGGTTTGACCTAGGTACATTTCAGAAAAGAAAGCCAGGACAGGAAAAGAAAGAAATTTTAGACCATTCTGTCTGGTGTCACACTGTTCCCTGCCACTGTTTTCTTTTGTGGGGATTAAGCCCTTTCTGAGGATTTGCAGCTTCCTGGGTGCTATAGGCACCATTCCTTGCGTTTACCAATAGGACTGGGGAGTTAGGGACTATTGCATCTTAATTTTAAAGTGGAGGGTACTAAGTCTCAGAGAAGTTAAGTTGTGCTTCTATGCCAAGATTTGTCCACTTTTATGGGGTGGCATTTGTATATTCTAGGGGTGAGATGATATTCCATTGTGGTTTTGATTTGCATTCTCCTTTTAGATAATGGTGTTGATCACATTTTCTTATTTTTGTTGGCCATTTGTACTTTTGAGAGGTGTAGTCAGATCATTGGATTATTTAATTGAGTTTCTTATATATTTTTGATATTAATCTTTTGTCAGAAGAATAGTTGGTAAATATTTTTTCTCATTCCATAGGTTGTCTCTGCACTGTTTCCCTCCATGTACGGAAGATTTTTAATTGGATGTCATTCCATTCATCTATCTTTGATTTTGTTTCCTGTGCTTTTGAGATCACTTCCAAAGAATCATTTTCTATTGTCTTGAAATGTTTCCCTGTATTTTTTTCTGAGTAGTTTCATAGTTTCAGGACTTAAGTCTTTGATCTATTTTGAATTTATTTTTGTACAGAGTGAGAGATAGGGGTCAAATTTCCATTTTCTGTGTATGATTATCCAGTTTCCCAAACACCATGTATTAAAGAAGTATCTTTTCTCCGATATATGATTTTGGCACCTTTGTGAAGAGTGAGTTGGTTGTAGATGCCTGGGTTTATTTCCAAGGTCTCTATTGTTATAGTTTGGATATGATGTGTTCCCCCAAAGCTTATGCTTTTATTTGAGAAAATGCAAGGAGGTTTAGAGGAGAAATGACTAGGTTATAAGAACCTTACCCTAATCAGTGAATTAATCCCCTGACAGGGTTCACTGAGTGGTAACTGAAGGCAGGTGGGACGATGTGGCTGGAGAAGGTAGGTCACTGGGGGCCTGCCTTAGGGTGTATCTTTTGAAACCTGCCAGTGCAGTCTCTCTCTCTCTCTCTCTCTCTCTCTCTCTCTCTCTCTCTCTCTCTCTCCTTTCTGATCATCATGTGAGGCATTTCCCTCTGCCACACTCTTCCACCATGATGTTCTGCCTCACCTTGAACCCTGAGGTATGGAGTCAGCTGTCTATTGATTGAGATCTCTGAAACCATGAACCCTCAAAAAAACTTTTTCTCCTCTAAAGTTGTTCTGATCAGGTCTTTTAGTCACAGCAGGAAAAAAAGCTGACTAAACATCTAATCTGTGCTATTGGTCTGTATGTCTGATTTTATGGAAGTACTGTTCTGTTTTCATTACAATTGCTCTACACTATCTCTTGAAATAAGGTGATACMTCTAGCTTTCTTCTTTTTGTTCTGATTGTTTTGATTATTTGGTTCTTTTGTGCTTCTATAGAATTTCAGAATCGTTTGTCTTTAGTTCTGTAAAGGATGTCATTGGTATTTGAAGGGGATTTCATTGAGCTTGTAAATCCCTTTGGATAACATAGACATTTTAACAATAACATAATTAATAACAATATTAATTATTACTTATATTATTTTTTAAATAATTAATAACAGTATTAGTTCTTCCAATCCATGAACATGGGAAGTCTTTCCTTTGTTGCATGTTTTTCATTTCCTTCATCAGCATTTTGTAATTTTCATGTAGAAGTCTTTCACTTCCTTATAATAGATCATTTGAAAGGTAGAAGCCACCCCTGGGAGTGTAAAATAAGTACTTCCACCTTGACTTGTGTCCCAGGTTGGAAAAGTGGCTGAGTGCTGATGGCATGGGGTGGAGGAGGCCACAGCATTTCAGGAATAACAGCAAGGTCTAAGTGAAAGAGAGGGTAGAGAGCATGGTTGTTTGGGAGATGAGATATAGCCCTAAATGGAAATAAGTATTAAGGAAGGAGTCTAAGGTCCCCAATCCTCTTTTTAGGCACCTGAAAGTGAGTCTGCCTCTAGGTCATCAAGAGGAAAGTCACTGCACTGTCCATCAAAGGTCATAGAATTTCAAAATCTGAATCCTGAAGAGTACTTGAATACTATCTAGGTCAACTCCACCCACAGTGTGAATAGTCACTCCAAGATTCTAGAGACTTTTCCACTTAAATTTTTTCAGTGACCAAATACACTGCTTCCTGAGGTGCTTGTTCCTTCCTGGTGGTTTCACTATTAGGGTGATTTCTTCCCCCTTTTCTGACATTTCTCTTCTCCTGTTCTTCCTTCCCTCTATGACCAAATTCCCCCTGAAAGTTACCATGCTTTGCTCCAGCCCCACCTGACTCATCACACATCCACCTACTATTGGAAACACAGAGCTCCCCATTGGACCTGCTATCAGCCTTAGTCACCAGCTTATGGCTTCTTATTATATTAATTGCTATGTGTAGCAAAGATGATTTTTTTTTCTTCCTGCCAGATTTCTCCTCAGCCTTATTATTGTTCGGAAACCATAAAACTGAAAACTGCATTTTTATGACTCCAAATGACCTTCAGAATTCCAGACACGGCTGACTCCTGCTTGGCTATAATATTTTGGCTCATTAATTTCAGAGAAGATATTCCGATGTATAATTTTATTAAGTTTCTGAGGATTTTTTAATACTGTGTTTCTAAATATGATGAACTTCCTTCCACCAAATTTTAATTAGGGAGCATATTAAATCCTCAATTAATGCTTGCAGTAATGCATATTTAATATCCAATAACATTTGATCAGGATCCTTCCAGAGGGAGGGACTGGAACATCATGGCTCCTTGGTTCTCATTGACCAATAGAATAGTCACATCTTTCTTTCAGTCTTCCTTTGCCAGTAGAATAGAAGCCCATTAGGAGCTATTGGCCAGAAACACAATTAACACTCTCATTATTAGCTTTCCCATTGGAGTGAGAGGGGAGTGACTGCCTCTGGGTATGTGAGAGGAACAGTGTGGATTTTGTGAGCAAGCCATTCAAAGCACAGAGCTGAACTTTTAAAATTAAGCACCTTAAAGATACCTCATTTCCTTTTTTGACTTCTAACCCTATTTCCCATGCATAGGAGAAATATGCTTTAGTACAGATATCTGCAAATGTTTCCTGTAAATGTTGAAATAAAAATATTTTAGGTTGTGAGGGCCATAAAAATTTCTGTCACAGCTAAATGATTACTGCCCTTTTAGCATGAGAACAGCCATAAACAATATGTAAATGAATGAGGGTGATTGTATTGCATGAAACTTCATTGACACTGAAATTTGAATTTCATATAATTTTTTGTGTACAAAGTACAGTTATTTGTTTAATTTTGTTTTCAAACATTTAAAAACAAACAAATAAACAAACAAACAAAAACACATTCTTGGCTCATGATCTGGCCAATGGCCATAGTATGCCAACCCCAGTTTGAAGGGAAAAAAGTCCTAGAACGAAATCTGGGATCTCAGTCTAACTCTGCCACTAGGTCACCAAGAGGAAAGCCATCGTACTGTCTTGGAAACCAGTTTCTTCATTTGAAAAATGATCATGATCATGCCAATGAAGTTTGAGTTAGATGGCAGCTAAGATATTGTTTGAAGGATGATTTCTTCCCCATGAGTAACTTGTTTGGATACTCTTTCTGTAGTCCACAAGAACGGTCTCTACTCATTTTTCTCTTTCCTCTTAAAATAACCCGTTGCCTCCACCATCAGAAGACTAATAGAAAGTAGGGCAAAAGTAGCCAGGTCAGCTCAGGAGTGCTGGTGCCTCATGATCTGCAGCATGGGAGACCAGAGCTTCATTCATTTCTTGGCTCTAACAGAAAAGAATTCTTCCATGGTTCTCTGTCATCCCCATTCTGTAGAGAGCATCCAAATATTCATCTAGAAAACCTATCCAGAAAGAACCAATCACTGGGAGAGACCCATAAGACTCAGAGGCAATTGACATGGCTGTGGGATAGTGAGCATGCTTTTTCTTCCAAGGGCTGACCCCATCATCAAATGCTGAAGGAGAAGGAACCCCCACCCCCACCCCACTCAGCACCGGTTTCTCGCTCTCTGTCCCTTTCATAGCCAGATCCCTCTCTTAGTACTCTTCTATTACAAATTACCCTTGT